CCCCAAACCCCCTGCACAGCTGATGGACCTTGTCGAATCTTTCCTCTCCGACCAAGGCTTCGATGATGCACACCGTGAGTTCAGAAAGCATCGAGCCACCAAGGCTTGGAAGGGCCATGGTGCTGGAACAACAACTCCCCAGGACCACTCCTTGGTTAGCATCTACCAAACCTGGGAGACCCTCCCCAACGCCCAAGCACAGATCACCAAGATCAGCAATAGCGACAGTTCCAGCGACAGCAGCGATGAGTCTTCCGATGACGACGATATTGCAATGGCCGACGCTCCTGCCGCTGAGTCGTCTTCCGATGACTCGTCTGATGAGTCTTCTAGCAGCGACAGCTCTAGCTCTAGCGAAAGTGAGAGTGAGAGTGACGAGGAGCCGACAACAACAACGATATTGCCTTCCACTTCCGTCATCGCACCTGTCACCAATCCTCTAAAGCGCAAGGCTCAGTCGGATAGCGAAAGTTCATCTTCTGAGTCCGACTCAGACTCGGACTCGGACGAAGACATGACTAGCTCAAAAAGGAAGAAGGCGAAGCCCCAGCCCAAGAAGGCCAAAAAACAGGACAGTTCGGACGAGAGCTCCACAGATGAGAGCTCCGAATCAGAATTGAGCTCTGATTCGAGCTCTGATTCGAACTCTGATTCTGACTCTGATTCAGAGGATGAAGAGGCAAAGCCCAAGAAATCTAAGAATGTTAAGAAAATCAAGAAAAGTCAATCTGATAGCGACAGCTCTTCCGAATCTGACTCTGATGATTCCTCATCCAGTTCTGAATCCGAGTCAGATTCTGAGGACGAAGTGGAGGTTGCCGCAAAAGTCGCACTGCCTGAATCCGACGCTGAATCCGACGCTGACTCCATCAACGACTCCGAGTCTGAATCAAAGAAAAAAAAACAGAACACCAAGACAGAAGGCAAGACAAGAAATGGTGCAGCGTCAGACAGTTCAGCTACTATGGAGAAGGCTTCTCCTGAATTCGCCCCCCTTCCCCCAGACCCCACTACCTTTAAGGCCAATAACAGAGGCAAGAATGGGCCAAACCAGGGAAAGCCACAGAATCAGCCTTTTTCACGCATTTCGAAGGATGTCGTAGTCGATCCTCGTCTCTCCTCAAACGCCTATGTATCCCACGGATATGGTGAACAGGCTCATCGTGACCTGATCGTGACAAGAGGCAAGGGCTTCACCAAGGAAAAGAATAAAAAGAAGCGCGGAAGCTACAAGGGAGGTCCTCTAGATGTTCATACAAGCCGTAGCTTCAAGTTCGATGACTAGAAGTGTGAGAACCCTAGTTCCGATGACGATGAGGAGTATAGCTACCCTGAGTCTGGGGGAAATAGTTCTCGCGCCAACTATATCCCCAGAGTCACCCCAGCAGCACCAAGGAAACAGAGACGCAACAGCTTTCCTTTTGCTATCGAAAATGCAAGCATTAAGCAGCGGGTACCAGATAGACTTAAACGGGTTCTATGGTGAGCAACGAGCCGTCCAAGTTGGACTGAGCGTGTGGCTTAAATTTGATTATTGGCGTATTGCGGCAGTACATATACAGACCTTACACATTGGAGTTTGTAGATGTCCACCCGAGCGTGACGAACGCATGCACGGGGTTTAGCCTTACGATAACGACCAGCAGGTTTTAAATAGTCAATACAGAATCAAGCAGTGATTTGCCCTCCTGCGCAAATGTGTTTTTGTCTCGGTCGAGCTAGTCTTTTCTAATACTGTACCGTAACAATATTTCGCGGATTTTTGAATTACGTGATGGACATCCACTGGGTGTTTTCAAGATCGTGAGGGGTCCTAAGCTTGCTATGACTGGGATTAGGTATGTCATGTAGTATTACGTATGCGGGCTTCCTTTCTGCCTCTTTCGAGTTGCCCGTTATATATCGAGAGTCTAATTAATGTGTCGTGCATTCATGTTGTATGCACCTCCTTACCCACCAAACAGCATTATCTCTTAGCCACCCTTTATACTCCAATAACTCCAGGTCAATCAATTCCGCCTGCATTTTTGCAGTATCTACTGTTGTTGTTTTTCTTTCTTTCTCTTGCTTTCTTAATCACTTGAGCACTCCGCGCAGTTTACTCACCTTTGCGCGTTGGTTTTGGCTGGGGACTATCTTCCCATCCTTGGCCCAACATCCGATTCACATGGCTCCTAAAACAATACTTGTGACGGGCTGCTCGGATGGAGGCATTGGCGCCGCCATCGCTCTCGCCTTAGCCAAGCGCGGCCACCATGTATTTGCTACCGCTCGAACAGTATCCAAGATACCGGCTAGTCTTTCCGAACTGGACAACGTCACTCTCCTCCAGTTAGACGTAACCTCTTCCGAGTCCGTGACCCGAGCCGCCGAGGCGGTGGCCGCAAGCGGGCGTGCGCTCGACGTGCTTCTAAACAATGCCGGCGCCGGCTACGCGATGCCCGTCCTCGACATCGACATAAGCCGGGCGCAACGGCTCTACGACGTCAACGTATGGGGCCCCATCCGGACGGTACAAGCCTTCGCGAGCCAGCTGATCGCGAGCCGCGGGCGCATCGTGAACATGAGCACGTGCGGCGCCGTCATCAACACCCCCTGGATAAGCGCCTACGCCTCCTCCAAAGCCGCGCTGACGAATTTCTCCGAGATGATGCGCCTCGAGCTCGCGCCGTTCGGCGTCGCTGTAGTGGCCATCATGGCCGGGACCGTGGATTCGCATTTTCACGATAATGATTCCGGCTTCGGCCTGCCGGAGGGTTCACGCTATGCGCCTATTGAGGAGATCATTGCCGGCTGGGCGGATGGTTCGTTGAAGCCCAAGGGCTGTCCTGCTGCGCAGTTTGCTGAGTCGCTTGTCGACACCATCGTGAACGGAAATGCCTCGGTCGCCTACAAAGGACCCAATGCCGGCATTATAAAATTTATATCGAGATATGCGCCACAGTCTATGTGTGTAAGTGCCTCCTTTCTCGTAGATCATAGTAGATGGCGCTAGAGCGCAAATGTCAACCATTTAAGATCAGTCGAGGGCTAACGATGCATGTTATTAGGATGCGCTTCTCAGTCATAATCAAGGCCTGAGAGAGCTGGCTGAAAAGGTCAAAGAGGAGGGCAACCCCTAGGAACCCAGTTCAATTCATGTAATCGTGCAATGCGCAGTGAGCAGACACAGCTTGCACACTATATTTCGATAGCTGCAATAGGTTAATAAATGTCAGGGGTGTCTGTCCCAGAGTGAATGGATAGCCTACGCAGTCACATAGCAGGTAGGTAGAAAGGGGCCAGTAGCCATAGGGTGTATTGGTCAACATAGTAGCCTGTATATATAGACCTAGCCTGATAGGCACACACTAACCTAGGGTGTCACCTATCTACCTGACAACAAATCACTAGGTTTAATAAAAGCTAACGTTAAGAAAAAGCTTGGATTGAGAAAAAGCTGAGGTTATCCGCTGATTATTAGAACAGCTTGACTGTAATCTACTCGATCTTAACTACAAAACATTCTCACTAGACTTGCCATTAGCTCTATAATTTCTATTTAACCAGACAAGCTTTAAATCGAAAATCACCTACTGTTGGCTTGTATACGGTATACCAAGAGGCCTCTGGCCACATGACCTAAGCTTGTCGGAAGGGCATGAAGTTAGGGACCAATCCGAATATATCCAATCAGAGAACCGATTTGCCGAAGTGTAGTGTTAGATGGCTAGTGATGAATATGACTAGGCTAGAACATTCTGCGTCTAGCGAGGTATCTCATACTATATTGATCTTTCTTTCTACCCGTCTGAGGTCCTTCTAGATAGCCAGCACTTTGTGAGGCCGCGTTCATCGTTACCACAACCGAAACTAGAGCGTTGCCTCATGGTGGCTGAGTGTTACACTTATACCACATTAGGAATTGATACTGGAATACCGATACACCTAGGTTTATGCCTGTAGCTAATGTGAACGGGAAACCGGAACGTCAAATGAGAGGAGTGAATGATGAAGAGCTTCTAGGCAGTCAACGGGGTCTCGTCTTGCACTGGAAGAGACTAACACTCGGGCCAAAATCATCTAAGACCCAAAAAGAAAGAGGTAATAGTAGCGAGCCTGCAACAGCTTAGCCGCCGGGGCTATCCAGTTGCAGATTTTAACAGGTGTTATGATAATCAAATTTGCGCAGAGATTATATGCCTGCTAGTCACTAGTAAGCTATCACAAGAGCTGTATGCAGGGCTTGAAAAATCACTCTGAATGAGAATAATATTCCTAGGGTCGCATGGAACCCCTTGACTACCTAGAAGGCTCTCAAGGCCTCCTAGGAGTCAGGCTATAAGTACAGCTTTTTTTTTTTTTTTTTTTTTTTCCTACCTCGGGCCCTCTATCTCAGCGTTCAGCTTAATGTCTTGGATTCCTAAATATCTTCATTTACTTCGAGACCTTATGCGATACGCTTTCATGCCTATACGAATACGACTTATAAGGGACCCTTGCATCTCACGAGGCATGGCATAGGTGGCCTCCCATTAGGTGGTCTCCCATGTGCACGCATGCTTCCGTGCTATGTAAGCCGATACTTTCGAGAAACAAGGAAGGAAAACATAAAGAAGCAACAGGGAGAAGAGAGCACAAGAGGAACATAAAAACCTGAGAGAGTCTAAGATAAGAACAAAACTACCAGCCTACCCTTTTGCCAATAAGCAAGTTGATCCGATTCAACTTCAACACCGGCATATTTATGTCTTCGTATCTCATTCCAATACCTAACATAGAAGTGTCAACTTTGTCAATGTTGGCCACCAGCTACTATTACTAAGAACTCCGTAGAGTTACTATTAGGGGACAATTCTCCGTGAAGAGAAACGAGTGGACCAAAATAATAAATAACACATAGAATTCGGCGTCGCATGCACCGAGAGCAATTCACAGTTGTACAACATGATTACTGCTAGCCTTGAAGGATAAAAAAAAAAGTGAGGTTCAGAATCGAGGAGAAACAAAATGATAAAAAGAGCACTGACCCGGACTTGAACCGAGGACCCTAGAACACTTCAGTTAGCTTTAGTTTTGTCTTGGGCAAAGACAAGCCAATCACATACTATCGGATCCATTTCGTGAAAAACTGCAGCCGATTGCTCTACCACTGAGCTATCAGTGCTATTGTCGGACAACAAAGTATTGAAACCTATATCCTTTTCTTTAAAGTATGGTGACGGTACCTAGCCCAACCTAGCAACCGAGACAATGCTGCTACTCTGGCAATAAAACAACATAGCGGGGTTTAGCACTTTAATTAGCTTTAATACACTTATCAATAATAATGGTATGCACGAAGCAATCGGAGGTACAAAAATAAACTGAGTAGCAGAGACCTATAAGGATGGAAAGGTGATGATAGTAAATTATTTATAGCCATGTGTGACAAACTTTGCCTCATCTACTTAACTACAAACTGTCCTTATAATTATGATTATTTGTTTGCTACTTTCGTAGGATAGCGTTTTAGAGTTGTTGAATGTGTAAAACCCTACGATCAGCAGTCTTGAAATTTTTTATCACGTGGGAGCCGGTAGATTTCGCGACGACTGAGAGCCACTAACTTCTCATGTTTGCTGCTACACACTTTTGAGAAGGAGACACTGGTGCTCCGCCTCGGATCCGAGGTCACTTGCGTTGAGTGCCACAATATTATCCCTTAACTCGGCCTCTGAATTGGCTAAGCTAGACTATGCGGTACCACAGAAAATAACTTCGCCATACTCTGGACGGACAAAGAAAACACGCTAATATTCTCTACAGGGCTCATAGTCAACTAGCCGTCCTCCTAGAGAAGTGGCGTGTCGTTAGCCCTTTGTCCTCCAGAAGCTCCCTGGCCGGAAGCGTATAGCCTCCGTCGTTGGGTATACCGGCTAGGAACTAATCCCTGGCACCACCGAAGCGGAGACTTGCTTTGTATCAACGCCAGCCCATTGGAAGCCTCTTCGATGATTTGTTTAAATTAGTCAGGGCTTCTTGTGATGCCTTAGCACCCTGTATTTCGTTTAACTCATTGGAGTTTGCCGGAATATTACTACTGGCCTGTCTTGTCATCTTAGGTCGACCCAAGCGTGAGGCGGTATGGAGCGTTTTGATATTTCGGCTCCAGCAGGTTTCCTTCTCGTATTCAGTGGTTTAGGCAAAGGAAGCATTGATATGTGTACTAAGCTAAGAAACCCAAAGGCTTAGAGTTCCTAGGGTACTGGCAATATCACTCGAACAAAGACGGGTTAGCACCAATATTAGCTAACCCTCATTATCTGGGCAGCGTTGCTCTCCCTAGTATGCGGCACCAGTTATATGTAGGGTGGCCGTCTAAGCAATATTGTCCATTTGTATAAGCTACCCCGAATCACTCGTTATAACATGTAAATAGCATGTGTGGAGTCTGCTATACATCAAGTGGATCTGTAGGCATCAGACGCAGTCAGATCTGACAACTCGGCACGGTGAGGTGACATGTGGTCGTTAGGAGAACGACGTCCTAGACAATTTCAGTAGTGTTCGATCTCATTCCATGATATGGAAAATCTTAACCTGGAAGCTGCGATCAATATTGACGCTGCAATGTCTTTGGTCTCGTATCAAGCGTCAGACTTGCGCTCCACGTCAACAGCGTGTGGGACTGGTTTCTTGGACTAAATGCCTACGAGTGTGCCACGGGCTGGAACGCTCGTACGATATTGATAGCGCCTCGAAGAACGACATTCCAGACTTTGGGCTTGTTCTGTCAACTCTCACTAAATCAGTGAATCATCGGCTACTGGTCTAGTAAGAATGCCGTCGTAATCAGCAACACCAGTATCACTATCTAGAGAAGTTGCCAACTGTACTGTAGTCCCTAATATGTACTACGGTGAAGATGCGAGAGCTGATTTGCTAGTAAACACTCAAGAATATAGAACATCGTATAGAAATTAGACTCCTCGATAGAGACTAAAGCGAGGCATAATTGGGCGGTGAATATCGCTAGTTGTATTTAGCGATTTTTAGGAGATGAAAATAATAACGTCTTAAAATGAGTGCTACTTTGAAACACTGAGAAGGAACACGTTTTTACACTTTCTCCAAGAACCAACGGGGACTGGTTGCAGGTCCCCACCAAGATGAGTACATAGAAAATGGGGGCGGAGCAAATGGCAAATGGATGAAAGGGTTGGAGATGCAAGTACGCCTATGACCTTCTTTTTCTTTGTATCTTCCTGTTTTCATCCAAGCGCAGGTCAAGATATGGAGCATAAAGGGGAGAAGAGATTCAACAACTACTAATCCACTGTCGTAGTCGTCCTCCGTGCTAATATTCCGCCAACGTGGGTGGTTTGATTAGGTGTGTTGGTACTAAAACCTATGGTCCTTGGTGGTAAGGGTCACAGATACTCTTTTGACTTGGATCTAACTATGGGATAATAGAAAAACACAGTGCCTACCATGAATTGTAATGGACGCAAATAGAGAAGCGCTTAAAGTTAGGGAGCTATTTTTATTTAGCTGAGTGGCCTATCTACTGTAGGGCTGGTTGATGTTATTTTTTTCTTGTCGCAGTCCGGAAACGATCAAGGTTACCATGCCGTTGGTACGGTTGCGAGTCATATTTAGCGAGTCAGCCCAATGACATGTAGTACATGAAAGGGAAAAAATAAGAGCATCTGTAGTACGATATGGTCATGTAAAGGCAAACAAGATTTTACTATAACGAGAGCATATCCTTAAAAGCCAAACAAATGCGCCCTATCTCTCCAGCCACCTGGCCCACAAGCCAATGCATGATCACCCTCAGCCCCTCTGTCTCTAACCTGAGAGGTCGAGGTGGGGTTGAAGGGTGGGGCTGCGGTGTGCCGGCAACCGCCAGAGCCTTACCTCCGGATTCAGTCACTGGGCAAGGCAAACCGTCTGCTGGAGATACAATGCCCATATCCGGACACAGCCTACCTAGGTACCTGCACTAACTGCTACTTAGGTAGGGTAGCTCAGGCACGGTCGGTCCCCAGGGCCTTACACTTCAGAGACAGGTAAGCCCCACGAGACCTGCTCACTTCTAGTAATTCATCCCACCTTAGTTCCCATCTCATGTCATCACTTTCGTCCAAATGACCAAGTAGCCAACTGCTTTTCTGACTCTCTCCTGTGACTCCTAGATACTTAATGCCCGGGTAGTTTTCTGGCGATGAAAGAATCCCAATGTCAGCTTGCTCTTTGTTTGCGCATGTCACACTTGTGAATCGCTTCCGGTTCCTTGCTTCATACCTCATACCATAGCCACCCATTCATTCATCCCTTGAGACTTTCATTCACCCCTTACCTCCGACACAATTCAATCTATACAGGGAGTTCACGGATCACCGTCGAGGCAAACATTCTCACCCTATCAGGGCGGCAATAGTAGACGCAATATCCCGCCTGCTTGGTTCCTGAGCTTCGCAAGCTCGCCCTGAATGCGCCTATGGGTACATTCTGCAGTATAAATAAGGGCGCCGAGTCCGACGAACATGATAAGGATTCGGAAGACGCACCATCCCATAATTCACATGGACCACCGTCGCGGCAGCTCAAGATGACGATGAAACATCCGCGGCACGATAGGCCTGCCATGCCGTACAAGTTTGAGTTCCAGGACGACATGGCATGCAGCGCAGACGGCGGCGCAAGTCCAGACGAACTCGAAGCCAACAAGATCCTTGCGCGCATGAGAGGGAAAGACAATGCTGCATACCGGAAGCATTCTCTCTCGTCTGGCCAGCATTTCCTCCATATCCGTGATCGCCTCGAGGATGCCCGGCTATTTCAGGTCGCACGTATGGTGCCTAAAGGTGCTCATCTACATCTCCACTTTAATTCTACACTATTACCGGGAGTTCTTCTCGGTTACGCCAAAGATATGCCCAACATGTATATCTGGAGTGACCATCGACTCCTCGAGGAGAGCGATTTCAAGAACTGTAAGCTTGAGTTCAGCCTGCGCAATCTCGAGCAGGTTCGCAACGAGATGCACGCCCAGGCCGCCGAATCGCATGACAGTTCGATGCAGGAGAAGCTTGCACACGCCAGCAGACTATCTGATGAAGCCGCCAAGATCCAGGCGTACGATGAGCTTGGCCCAGATATCTTCAGCCCTACCTACAAGCACGGGAGGAAGGACAAGGGCCACCAAGTCGAGGAAATGCGCTATCAGTATTTCCGGCAACGTTGGGAGGAGAAAGCTCGGGGCAACTGTGATGAATGGCTGATCAGCAAGCTCACCTTCAGCAAGGAGGAAGTAGATTCCTTTTTCACAGAAGCCGACGACGATGAGCTTGAATTGGAGTCAGACTCAGAACAATCACCAACACAGACGAACTTGTTGCCGCCTAGTCCGGTACAGCCCACCTCAAATGGCGTGAAGCCTGAAGAGTTCGATGAGCATCAATGGTACATAGAAACCAGGAAAAAGATCTCAGACAGCGACCATAAAGCCAAACGCAATAGTGCACGCAGGTAAGTCGAACCTTAGGCGAAATTGGTGAACGAAACTGATCATCTTTAGAGCATGGACGTCGTTCAATGGGCGTACTAAAATGATGAAAGGGTTATTCAATTACGAGTCAGCTTTCCGCCGATATACGCGAAAGTGTCTAGAGGAATTCGTCAGAGATAATGTTCAGTATGCTGAGATACGGCCCAACTTCATGCAAACAAATCAAATTCTCAATGATACCGCCGAAACTAAAATTGACAATTTTGGCACTATGAGATGCATTATTGAGGAATATGAAAAATTCATGAAACATATTGGGGATATGGGAGCGGATGGGGAGATTATCGACGATCCGCAGCACCGGCCGACTTTCAGCGGACTGAAAGTTATTTATTGCACGCCACGCTCCTTCTCACGGGAGGCTGTCAAGAAAGCCCTAGATGAGTGTATTGAAATGAAGAAGAAGTGGCCAAATTATATTGCAGGCTTCGATCTCGTGGGCGAGGAGGCTTTTGCCAAGCCGCATCCACTTAGATTCTTTTTGAAGGAGTTCATGGATTTCAAGAAGCAATGTGAGGGAGAGAACCTCGATATACCGTTTTTATTTCATTGCGGCGAAACACCAGATGATCTTGAGGGCAATTTACAAACAGCAGTTGAACTCGAAGCCA